ATTATACACAGTCATACAGGCACACAGTGAACACACCGGTGTGTCAGTAGATATGCTCGCTGATGTCACCAATGATGGTTTTCTGAGTTAACGCAGATTTACACTTCAGATTTGTAGATTTAACTGGTTTGCAAAATCGCCCAAAACTAGAGCTCGTGAAGGAACAGAACAAGCACCTTGCATTCAAATTGTGTTTAGACCTAGATGCATTTTACACTGGGGATCAGTGTGTTTCTCCAAAAATAATTTAAAAAAGCAAAAAAACATTTGCACTGAGATTTCCCTTCCCTACTCAGAACTTTTGCACGTTCACAAACTGCAGCTGCAGCACCCGATGTTTGTTTTTCCCTCGCCTCGAGCAGAACACCTGATTCTCACTCCTGAATCCAGAGGCTGCAGTAAAAACATGCATGTCTGTAACACATCTTCCATTTGGCACAGAAAACAGATGTAAACCTTGTTGTGTATACCTCTTTGGCAAGGCGCCGAGCTTCATAATATGGTCTCGCTTTTTCAATGCAGCTGCCGAGCTGAGAGCTCTGAGCGTTCAGCTTTCGGGCAGACTCTGTGAGGATCTTCCGGTATCCCGATCTGGCATCCTGGACGATCAATGCATGAAAATGAAAGGATTAGATTTACCTGTAATGCAGCAACTAATTCGATTTCACACAGGAAGTGGGCAGCCGATTCAGTGAGTGTCAAAAAGCAACACTACATCTTCCATTTTAAGAGCTCACGCTTTTCCAGAGTCTGTGCTTTACACATATTGAAAAACAAAATTATCATATTCATTAGCACCTTCGGGGTAGACTAATGAAATATTTAGACACAAACACATTGAGAAGTAATTCCCAGGGTGGCAATAAATGTTTTTTTCACATCTATAATGAGTTTGTTTTGTCAACATCAAAGCAATTTTATTTAATCTGACAAAAAAAGCAGGGCAAGTCTTATTAAACTGTCATACATTTCACGCAGACTTGTAACTGATTACAAGTCTGCGTCACCACCAATTAACCTATCAGTTACTATTCTGGGGAGGTTGGAAAACAGTGGGAAACTGACCAAAGTCCAAACATTTAACAAACACAGGAGGACAGAAGAGAAGCCATTTTAAAAAAAAAAAAAAAGAGAGATAATTGACTTTAATAGGAGATTATTTGATAGTTATATTTTACAATGATTGTAATAACTGAATAGCTTTCTATCTATTATGTATTTACACTTACATCCAACTGCAGTTCTAGCTTGTTGATTTCAGCACTGGCTTCATTGAGATGCTCCAGTTCCTCCTGTGGAAAAACACAGTATATGTATCTCACGTATTTATATTGAGAAAGCATTAGCAGTGCTATTTGACTGTAATGGCGATGATTAATAGGTTGGGAGTGTAAGGTGACACACGTCAGAGGTGTGTTACACTGGCGACAGGATAATCACTTCAGATCTGACAGGGATTTGCACAGATTACCGCATTATGAAGACATTATCTTTTAAATAAATAATGAACATGTGCTCATTTGAATACATTGCTACCTTTCTGTCACACTAAATCGAAAGTAATCCCGGATGTACACACCCAGGTGTAGGTAACAGTAATTTAAAAGCGGCTGATTAATATAATAATAGAGCTGAAGGATGTTTAACAGTCAGCAATAGATTAAACAAGAAGTCTGAATTTTGAGGTACCTGGATTCTGGGATCCAACTCCTCTTCATACGGACTGTGTAATTGCTCTCCGGGGCTTTTCTGTTTGTCACTCTCTCCTTCCTCGCAGGTGTCTCTGAGCGCCATTTCTTGAGTCTTTCCATCGCATTCCGCAGCTTTGACCTCCTCAATACACTCCCTCCATTCCCCTACGTCCGATTCCCCGGAACCGGCGGGGCTCTCTCGCAGGTCGCCTGGCTCCATTCCAGGCAACACTTTTGGGTTAGCAACAGCGTTAGCTAAGGGGTCTTCAACGGCAGGCGGGGTTTGTTGACCTAAAAACCCGGTGCTATGAACAACGACCGAAGGTTATTAAGTAGAGGTAAATTAAAAAATTATTCCAGCGGCCAGGAGTGGTGTTGAATTTGCTATCTGCCATATTAAATCACACTGAAACCCACTAAAGCTAGTCTTGCCTGCACCTAGCATGCTAACAGGCTAGCGCCTAAATGAAAGCGTGACGGCTGCTTTTCTGAAAAAACCGCTGCCAGGAGATGAGAAGTAAAAGGGGGGGCTATCAAATTGTACCCCCCGACACACGCCTCTTTCCCTCCATCCTTTACCGGCTCTTCAGTACTTTAGCTAGGCTAGCTAGCTAGCGGTTTCGGCCTCACATCATCATTACAAATGAGGTAAACAGGCGAATAGAAGCGTTACGCACTTAAAGATTTGAGCCAGGGTGGCCACCGTAGTTGCACTACAGCAGTGAATGCTGTTAATTTTATGAAGGTTTGCGACGGCCAGGTGATCTAAGGGCTCTGGAGTTTAATTCAAATATTTTTTGTCATGCAAAAAAACAAGATATATAATAAGCTCATTACAGCAAATTGTCTTGTGCAAATAAATTAGATTACACGTCGGCACAAGATGATGACTGTTTGTACAAGATATGACTTTGTTAATACAAGATAACAAGGCAAAAATAAAAAAGATAATTACTGCTCTGCGCTAAGAACATTTCTGTACAAGACAGTAAGTTGATCATGCAAGACAAGGACTTGCGTGCACACAATAATGACTTGTGAATATAAAATAACTTCTAGGTACGTACTGTGTGAAAGAGCCAGTCCTCAACTCTATTTTGTTGCTATGAAATGGGAAATAATTGCAGTAATTTATTGAACATGTGCGAACATAAATAGAAATACAGTGTATACAAATAAACCCGATTTTGTACAGTTCTATTGAGCTTTAAAGTCAGAATTTGGTATGACCACCTTTATGTTTTGTTTTTATTTTTTAACTCTCAGGCCAACTTTTCTCCATCTAGTTTGAAAAGGTCCCCAACACCACTGGCTGAAATGCAGCCACAAGCCACGAGGGGTTTCAAAGAGAGTTTCACTGCTGTAGCGTTCTCCTGATCTCTTCTTTACATATTGACAGCCAGTTTTAAAGTTTGGTTTCATCGCTCCATCAGACCTGTTGCCACTGATTTTCCGGTTTTTGTGTAATTTGACATTTCAAGCTTTTCTCGCAGTTTCTCTTTCTTAAAAAAGCTTCTTGACAGTCACCTTTCTGCTGAGGCTTCAGTGTGTCTTCTTCGCATCTCTGGTGGGAAAGACTGAAATGGGAGGAGAGAAATCCAGGACGTGCAATTTAGGAAATGGGACGGGAGTTTCTTTTTTCCAGTGTCGGTGTTAAGCTCAGCCCCCAGGGGTCCAGGCCCACCCAGTAAAGTCACCGTGCCACATTGGCTGAAATCTACAGATACACTCTGACTATAAGTTATTTATATTTTGGTAATGACCTATATCACTGATATTGCAGTGCAAGATCAATTTAATTATCCAGTTAACAGTACTTTAGTGCCTCTGCAGGAATCTTGATAACCAGGACGACTGAGGGCAACACAGCACTGAGCACATTACCACACGCAGGTCAGACTTTGGGAAGCACCCCTCGTGTCTCAGGAGCCAAAAAGAGGTCATCTATCAGCTTGTGCAGCCTTTTTACAGAATGACTCAATAATACATTGAAGATATCGTGTACTCAGTCAGTTATCCCAGTGTGTGTGTGGTGAGTTCACAGACCCAATTCCACACCTAAAGAAAACCTCTCTCTCGTTTGTTTATTAAACACATGCAACATGAAGTGCGAGTGAAAATCAACATAACTAAAAAGCAAAGTTGTGTATTTTTTTAATCCAGAAATGATCAGACAAACAAGTGTAGTAGTTTGCAGGGTAACGAGCCTGCAAATAGAATCACATTAGAGTATCAAACAGGATCATATGACAAAAAGTAAGCACAAAGAATAATTTCCATAGAAGGCATTAATGATCAGAATCAAACGACAGATTATACTGCAGTTATTACCTGGCACCAACACTATAAGCAACCACACCACAGATTACATTTCCCTCTTCCCAGCAGACAGAAACAGGTCACACAGATTACCCGAGGCTGCAAATAATTTAAACAAAAGTGGCAAAGTAGTAATTGCATTGAATGCATTAATGAATGTCATGTGCACACTTAGCATCGTATAAAAATAGATCTCTGGCGAATTACAGCAGATTTGTCTAACACGTAGTTGTGGTGGATCCTACACCGTGTGTATAAATGTTTTGGAAGAATGAAAAAGACCTGAGTAGCATTGGCAAACCCCCACACC